CTGTATCATATCTGGCCAGTTGCTCAGCAGGCATGTGCGAATAAATGATTCATCTTCTTCATTCGTCACAACTGGGAAGAATTCGCACTTGCCATGCCCAGCTTTGCCGCTCGTTCTTGAATTCGCCTAATGGCCGCCATTACCTTTTCCACGGTTCCCGCTAATGTGACATCATCAAGAAACGCCAAAACAATTCACAATCCAGGTCGGTAAATAGTGGTAGCGTGGCTAGGCTATAGCCAAAAGGGCCTGACGGGTCACCTTGTTGCACTCCCCGGGCGGACGACAAGGTTTCTTCTCCGCAAACCAGATGACTGCTGAAACGGTATGACTGCCAAAAATAGCCGTAATAAGCAGGAAAATGTTCATGGACAGCCCGTAATAGTACATCTCGTCTCAACAAGTTGAACGCGTTTTTTCGCGTTCAAGTTCGCTGAATTAACTAACTGGGCGGAATCATCTAACCGCTGCAGATAAACATACGAGTACTGTCAGTGCCCACCACGAAGCGCAGCCTCTCTATCCTTCTCGTAACCTTATTCGCGAATCCTCCGGCAAAAAAACACCGCTACAAGTTGCTATTTAACTGTAAACGGAAGTCGTCAAAATGTAATCACAACAAAACACAGTATCACTGCACAAAAGCAGAATGTGCTACCCATTCCAGCCCATATCGGTAATGCGAGTGAATCGCACATCGCTGCTAACCATCAAACCAACAAATCCAAAACAATGCGCGGGAATCATCCCCTCCCGAACACGATCCCCGTCACCCGGGCGAACTCCTCCGGCCACTTCCGCGGCGGATCCTCCGCGAGCTCCCGAATGCCCCACGTATCCACCGCATCGTACACGGGCATCTGCTTCAGTCGGCTCGCGCAACCGCCGCGAATGGCGCGCTTGCAGCCGCGCGACAACACCGTCCCGCTGACGTCGCTGCCCAGCACCTGCGCGAAGGCGATCCACGCCAGGCCCTCCACCCGGAACTCCAGCAGCCCTCCCATGGCCGCCTGCGGGACCAGCTGCTTCACCACCGACTGGATCAGCGCCCTGCCCACCTCCTCCAACAGCACTCGCACCTGGCGCCGACTGCGGGCAATTCGCTGCATCCGCTGCCAGTAGGCCAGCATCCGCACTCCGGCCAGCAGGAACAGATGGTAAATGTTCTGCACGACGCCCGCCCGCGGGCAGCTGGCCAGGTCCAGCATCACCGAGCAGAATTTGCCGCGCACCGACGCCACGAGGGCTGTGCGGACGCGCGCGCAGTACGTCTCCAGCACCGGCACCGTGTAGCTGACGCCCAGGGCGGCGAAACGCCCGATGTCGACGCTGACGCCCATTCCGGCCAAATCCCACAGCCAGCCGTACCAAGACATAACGCTCTGGCCTACCAAATAGTTCATCAGGTAAATATTTTTGAATTATTACTGAAATCAGTTACCTCGTAAATTAATTGTCTTTTTCAGGAAAAAGTATTTACACACCTTCCTGGGTACAACCGCCATGCAGCAGACTTGGCGCCTCCCGACAATCCGACGTGACAAAGTTGGTCTGCGTCTTCCGCGGCGCTACCTTTAAGCCATGCTTCGCGTAGAGGATGGCGTACGTTCGGGCGAATGACTGGAGACGCTCCGGACACGGCGTCACAAAGAGGACGTCGTCGAAGAAGCGCACCAGCATCTCGTCCTCCCTGGCACGGAAACCCGTCTCTCGCTCCAGCGCACTCAGATACACGTTCAGCAGCCAAGCGGATGCGGGAGCGCCTTGAGCAACGCCAGAATTAAATTGGTACCTGCAAGGATGAGCACAGAAAATCAATGACCACCAATAAAAAACCTATCAACTTGCACTTTATCACAAAATCAAAGCCGCACAGCCAAAGATTTGTTTATTCCAAAACTTATTCTTATCATTTCTACCATTTCCCACCATTTTCCCTTGAACTTAAAAATGGCTGGTTTCATCAGCTGATCAACAGCTCGAAAGGCACGCTCCACCGGCATCATCTGCGGCTTCACATGGCGAAAGCCCTCATCAATCGGCTCGCCAGGAACAATAAGACGGAATCTCGCGGAGGGCTTCCGGCGCTCTCCCGCGGCAGCACGGGCCCGGAACAAGTCGTACAGCAGCACGCCCCTGATCCCATCCCTCTCGCACAACCCACTCAACTGGTCCAGGAAGCCTTGGATGACACTGCTCTTCACGTTCTCGTAGGCCCGGGAGATGTCGAAGGCGAGGAAGAGCAGCGGCCGGGTGTCCTGCTTCTGCAGCCGCTCAGCGCGCAATTCCTGCCAGGCAGCCTGGATGTCCTTGTCGCTCTGGCAAGCGCAGCCTTTCGCGGAATACCGGCCAGCCAAAAAGTCCGCAACAAGGCGCACGGTCTTCAATGAAAGAAACTTCCCCTCCTCTGCGGCCGGGTGTGGATCACACACCATGATCGGTCGGATCCCGTTCGGCCTGCGAATAGTCAACAATCCCATGAAAAAGCGCTTCGCAAAAATATTACACATACACGTTCCTATAGAGTTCACGGTTTCAATCAGTAAAGTAAAAAAAACACTAAAAGCGGCAACGTGCAAAAGTAACCAGAAGAAACGTCAAAGTCTCAGAAATATTCGAATAATGTTCGATGATCTTACTTGGCCAAGAATCGCGGCCGATAAACGACCGAGCGGCTCAACAGCAAATCCTCCTCCTCCTTGGACTGGTTCAGCATGACCGTCCACAACTGCTTATCAATCCGTTCTCGCACCGCAGCATGCACCAGATCCGTCCAGATCTCCCGCCGATAGAACACGTACTCATTTCGGCGGAAGTCGGTCAGCGTGACGTAGAAGAGTCGATTGACCAGCGGATTGACGAGACGCTGGTAAATCCACAGGACAAAACCCGCATAGAACAGCTGACTCCGCTCGGCATCCGTCTGCTTCAGCCAGGGAATCGCGTCGAAGCGCGTCCCGGCGATGACGTGCAGCAGGGAGATCTCGTCCGCGCGCCCCAGCGCCAAGTAGTCGTGCAGGCCGCGGCAGAAGATCTTCCAGTTGTAGTTGTCCCCGAAGATCTTCCTGTACGGCAGCACTTCGTACAGGTAGGCCTGCACGTACTCGCGCACCTGACCGGCCGGCGTGGCCAGTCGGTACACGTCGACGTCGTCCATCGGGCGCGTTCGCAGGACTTGTTTCAGCTCGTGGAGCAGCGCGGCTTCGCGACGCAAGGCCTTCGCCAGACTGAAGCCCACTGCTTTTTCGTCCCGGTTAACCACATTGGCAACCTCGTCGGCCTGCGGGCCAGGGGCTGTTTCCTTCTCGGAGGATCCCCGCTGAAGCGACGGATTGGCAGCTGAAAAGCTAAGGATTTTGTTTATCAGTTTTCAGTTAATTTCGAGACGATATACATGTCTGTTTCTAGACTGTAGGTAAGTAACAGAACAACCACTTATTTACACACAGAATAAACGAAATTATCTTATCGATTATGTATTCAGCAAAACCTAAAAACACAAAAATTTTAGCGTGGTTGAACTCTGAGGACGAGTGGCTCAATGAGAAAAATTATCAGTGGAGAAGAAAAAAAATAAAAACAGAAACGGTGCACCGTGCAGGCTACCAAAGTGATTTTGACGATAACTCAATCTGACAATTATCAGATAATGTGGGTACTTATTCAATCACTGACTACAGTCACTCAAAATGATTTAATTACATAAAAAAGTGTAAAACCAACAACGTTAATAAGAAACTTATACGAGTACAGTACATACGTTTGAATGCAATTCACCAACGTTTGCAAAAGGTGGAAAAAATTGCACTACTGTCAAACTGATTAAAATAACTGGTTTTCAAAATTACTGAATTAAATCTAAGGTCGTGGCGCGGTGCGAATAGCATAATTCCTGGCATTTCCTGCTATGAAAATAGTTAAAATGCAAGGATCTTTCGGACGGTTTAGAGTCACTTTAAACTTACAATTTTCAATTCCAGCAGGCGGTGGATCCAGCTGCAGGGCGCTGCCTTTCCAGCAGGCATCGATGTAGTGCAGCGGCGCCCACTTGGCCTGCACCTTGTAGGGCGGCGTCTGGTCCACCTGGCGGATGATCCGGGCCACCATCGCGCTCAGCTCCCGCTGCAAGCCCGCCTTCCGCTGGATCTCCTCAAACAACTCCTTCCATCCGAATGGACCGCAGGCCGTGCTGGCCTGGTCCTCGGCGGGGTGCAGCTGCACGCGCGACGGACGAATCTGCTGGTGCAGCAGCGCGCGGTGGGGCAGGTACACCGTGGCCAGGCCGGGATGCTTCACGTTGCCCCACGGCGGTCGGGGAGCGCGGGGCTTTCTGGCGGGCGCCTCCTGCTGGGCCACTGCACTCACTGCAGGCTGCGACGACGGAGCCGTGTGCGGGTGAGGCGGGCTGCCTTCCTCCTCCGTCAACAGGCTCTCGTCAACGTCCATATCGACAACAGAATGCAGCAAAGAAAAGGGAACAAGTGTTCGTAAATGCACCTCAAGCGGATATTAGAAGGAACACAGGCGCCAACAGGGATCTGCAATCCCGCAGCTTCTTCCCAGATTAACGTACAACTTGATAGCGAAGAAATGCAGTTGAAAGAATTTAAGAAAGGCTGCAGACTGCTACGGTGGAAAGTTGCAAACACGGCGTAGGGTACAATTATTTTTATTCGAGCACTTTTACGCCGGCTGCCATGTGCATTTGTTGTGATTTCGGTGAATGAAGCAGTGGCCAATGGGAGACTTGCGGACCGCCCTCTAACCGGATGTAGATTGCAATGCAGCATCAGGGACTACTAACTTCAGTTTTCTGATTTTCCTTTCATTGATCATTTCATAAAATTTAACAATCTAGCTAGTATAAAGGTCGTAACCGCCCTTAGTGCAAGCGAGCAAGCGTATAAATTTTTCTTGTTGTAAAAAACTCGGTTGGGTAAGACTGCGTCACTGGAACAGGAGTAGTTGAGTTTACTCGTTTTTTGTAGCTGTTGCATATGCTGTGGAAGGCTTATCAACAGAGCTGCTCAGATATCAGTTTTTGCCACCGATATGATATCATTATTTTTATGCCGTTTGCGGAATTATGCCAATACAATATGTTATTTTTGAATGTTTTTCATTTTTGATTCCGTTAAAAAAAGTATAATATTCTTTGAGCTTCGTACTGATGCATGCGTTCCAAGAAACTAAATTCGAATTTCGTAAGATGAAATGGTTTCTGGTTGGCTGAAAATTGCGTGTAAAAAGATAAAAGATGTATTTTTATAACGCGTAACTTTCTTCTGATTAACTTTTCACGTAAAACTTAATTCTAAAAATTAAAAATTTAAATTTTTTGGGCACTACGCAGGAGGGGGGGGGGAGGTTCAGACGCTTGAGCTAACCAAGCCAAAGGCATTTCAGATTTGTGTGTTGGCCGAAGTATTTTTTGCGGTTACGCTCGCCATCGTAAATCCAATTGTGAGTCGACAGTCGGCGTGATTGACTGGCATGAGTTTACCGCTATCCACCAGTCTGTCTAGGTTTCTCCATGCTCTCGCACGCGACATCTTATTCCGTAATATGGATGATAATGCTGATCTAAATGATAATAACGACCCAGCGGGTCACACAGAAGCACTGCAACACGATCAGATGTGCTCACGCAAGCCAATGCGCCGCGGGCACTACTAATATAAATACCCTATCGCCCATAGCCGTCCATTCCGCACCAGATTCTTTATTTTAAGATGCTGGTCGTTGTTCTAAATTTGTAAAAACCTTTATGCAAATCGCCAACAGAGCCGATTTAATGGGTACGTTCAACTTTTACGCTTATATTGGACCGAAGGACTTAGAGCCTGTTCAACAAGCGCAACCCAGGCCGTTACCCGTCAAGTACAATCGTTTGCACAGGTTGAATTTCCAAACCTACCGCTTGCAGAGAAAAAAACAAAACATAACCTGCTAAATGAAGAGATTTCCCAACGCAACCGCAATTAAGAGCGAACTATGCAAAATGGTTTGGCAGCTCAATTCACTAAACAGACGGCTGTACTAAACATGGTCCACGTCACTACACTTCTGGCGGCCTTGATTCGCCATTCACGCTGCACCGCAGTCGATGACTAACCGTGAATCAGTGATTCTCTGCAAAATACTCCAACAGTTCGTGACGGTCTATCAAACCAGTTTTTGGTGGTAAATTATAAACTTTGAAATATTACTTTTCGTGCTGGCGGTCCATGGAAAAGCAGAAAATGTGTTCCGTTTCAGATTTTTAAATTTTCGCTAGATTGGCAGTTGGCCAGAACTCGATGGCATTGCTTACCTGGAAAGCTGCCGCATCGTTTCGTTTATTGGCAGAAAAGCCCGTTTTAGCGCAAATATCTGACTATGCAGTCACTATTCCGCAACTTCTCGCCTTCTATTTCTCAACTGAATTACCGATTCTCCACCCAAAACCCAAAAACAACCCAACAACAACAACCCAAACAACAACCCAAAAAAACCCAAAAAAACCCAAAAACCCAAAGTCAACAACCCAAAAAAACTCTTTGTTTTAATTTTTTCAGTTGGTTGTTAGAAGCACAGAAGTTTTAGCCATTTAAATCCTAGTATTTTCAAATTCACGGAAAGATTGTTTTGCTGCAGATGAATTAACACACTGACTTATACAAATCGCGTATGCCGATTTATTCACACAGGATCCGAGAAGCGCCGGCCCACATTTCTGTTTTAGAGTTCAATGTTTTCGCAAAGCGTGGTTTGGCTTAATTTATTGCGCAAACGATTTATCGGTTCAACACCTTATTCGATGTCTGCTGGCAGCGGCAACGTAACAATAACGCAGTAGCGGTTACTAAATGGATAACTTTCTTGGGTAAAGGATACCATGTTTTTCTATGGTTTTTAGTTTTATTCGGTTGAATTTATTCTAATGCAAAACAGCGGTCGAGTAACTCATACTTACCATGGTTTGAACACCAAGTGCCCGTTTCCCGCATATGACTATGGCTGGTAATCCACGGTCGTTTTTGGTCTCATCGTACTAACTCAACTTGACCTGGCGCGAAAATGTTTTAGTGTTTTGGTATTGATTTGACTAAGCTTACCAGAATCTTCGGTTTACAATAAAGTTCATGGATCGCGTGATTATCTTCAAAAAATTTCCACAACAATTTCCTCGAAAGTCTCTAAAAATTTAAGAATTTTGTTAAAAGTCGTTTCAAAATCAGGAAATTTCACCACTTTGCTTAATACGTTTAACCTTGTCCAATATACGCAGTGCTCGGGAGGGCAAGGCCACGTGATTAAATTTCTGTGAACAGTGGCGTATGTAATTATAAAGACCTGTGAGGTAGATCTCCTTTCTTTTTCTCCGCAAAAAAACATGAACGTTTAACGCTGAGGTTTATTGTTTTTGTTCTTTTGTTTTCAGATTTATATAAACCTTCAGAAATGAGCCTATTTTAAAGTTTGAAATACATAGGGAGTTGCAGCCCAGGGCGAGAAACTTGCTCCAGCAGTCAGATAATTTCTTTTTCATTTGCCAAACTGATATCTGAAATTTCATGCAGAATTTATTAAGATTTTGTAATGTTTATTGAAAAAGGTTTGAAGTGAAAAAAGTAAATGTTTCGTTCTATTTGATGCTTCAATTGCGCACCCGCTTTGCTTAGCCCTCGGTTTTCCTCGCAACGATAGTTCGCTACCGAATATGATAACGTTGACGGAAAGTTTATCCGTGAAAGTTATCTTTTTAATAAAAAGAACAACGGAATGCTCTTGTTTTACTTGCTGGTCCGCTCGCTTCGGGCTTCGGAGCGTTTGTCTCGGCGCAGAATTGCGTCGCCTTCGACTTCGTATTCGGTTTTCGTAGAAATGATAGCACGCTGCCGTATCATCACAATAACGAAAAGTTCAGGAACTGTAAGAAGAATCTTTTGAGAATAATAGGACAATAGAATCATCTCGTTTTGCCTGCTGCTCCGCTCGCTGCGCTGCGCTTGTTCGCGCCGCAGCTCGGCGTCGCCTTTGGCTCCGCCATCGGTTTCCGCTGCCGTATCAACACGGTAACGAAAAGTTCAAGCGAAACTGAAAGAATTTCTTTAGAATAAAAGGGCAATAGAATTCCCTCGTTTTACTTGCTGCTCGCATGCTGCACTGCGCTTGCTTAATGCTGACGTTATTAAAGAAATGTTTTGCTATGGCAACGTTTTAAAACATATTTCCAACAACTGCACAAAAGCCTCAGAATCCTTTGGATTTTGTTTAAAAATTTACAAATTCTTGAATGTGCGCTTTTTAAGCGTACCCCTTCAAATAAAGTTATAACTCACAACCTTCGTGATCGCGAATTTCCGTAATTAATCCTTGATTAATAGGGTAACCGGTGTTAGTAATTATAAATCCAACTCAGGTAAGAATTTTTTAAGATTTTTACATCCTTTTACATACAATAATCATTTGGTTGTTCGCGGTGCAGCCTGGCGTCGCCTTCATCTTTCTTATCGAAAACGGTCAAGTATTAAAGTAACAGCAACCCATTGGGACAACTGGCGATGCTAAAAATAAGCAGTAACGGTTACGGTGACCCGAAACGATGAAAAAAAATGCACGGTAACCTATTACGGTAACGGTAGCAGTAACAGTATCCCCCCATAGTAATCCGTTAAAGAACAGTTTGTGGTAACGGTAACCCGTTACGCTAAGGTTTAATTATTACGGAAATTCAGTAATAATCATCCGTTGCATAAAAAGTAATCTGTTATGGTAACGGTATTCCCCTGCCAAAGTAACGTATTGCGGGTACGGTAATTTTATTAATAGTATTTAGAAATGGTTGCAGGAACTTTCACGATAAAAGTAACCTGTTACGGGACTTGCAAACATACAAATTCCACCACCAACACCGGGTAAAATGATCGGACAGGGTTCATAAATCGGGCTACTTATACAATTGCACGGCGGAATCCTGAAAACTGAATAAATATTTCCCAAAACGTCGGTTCCCAGAACGCCAACCAAACAATGCCGCAAAAAAATCATTCCCGGGTACAAATTTTACCACCCGTATATCACTGGGTTCGTCAATACTGACCCAGTTACATTTAACGTTGCGGTTCCCGAAAACTGTTCCTAGCCTAAAAGAATTCGGACCGGGTCCAATTTCCGGACCCCGTATATTACTACGGCGGGTTCGTCAATAATGACCCGGTTATGATTTACGTTACGGTTCCCCAAAACCGCTCCACCCCGGGCCGCTAAAAAAATCCGGACCGGGCCCAAATTTCCGGACCCCCCGTATATTACTACGGCGGGTTCGTCAATAATGACCCGGTTATGATTTACGTTACGGTTCCCAAAACAGCACCACCCGGGGCGCAAAAAAATCCGGACCGGGTCCAAATTTCCGGACCCCGTATATTACTACGGCGGGTTCGTC